ATAATCCTGGCCTAGTGTCTGGGGATCTAATCAGCGCCCACTCTCCCCTGATTGGATGGAATGTTGTATCGGGTGTTTACCATTCCTTCCCACTTTTACTCTACCTCAAATGTACAGATCTGAAACAATAGACCATAATTTGGTCCTTGCCATTCCCTATGATTTTAACAAGATGCATATATAACTATATAATTTTAACAACTTATATTGTTTGAAATACTTATACATATGTTGCCAGTGGGAGATGTTGTGCAATGTAGGGGCAGGGCATATATTTGGAATCTCTGAACCTTCTGCTCGTTATTGCCCTGAGCTTAACAACTACGCTAACATAAAGCCAATTAAAGAAAATAAAACTTATACACATACGAACATGTTGGCTGAATCTTTCTGCACCTTCCCAATGAGATAACTCAGTCTCCATGGCAAATTGCTGAAGGGCAACCCGGGCATTGGAGGACACCTGTGTCAGCCAAAAAACACTAACACCTAAATGTCCATCAGTGGATGAATGGATAAAGAAAATGTGTATATGCACCAATGGAATGTTATTCAACTACAAAGAGGAATTGAATTTTGGCTTTGGTAACAGCATAATGCCTAGATGTCAAGGGCATTACGCTAAGTGCAATAAACCAGACAGAGAAAAGCGAATACGGTATAATCTCAGTTATAGGTGAAATCTAAAAACAAACGAACGAGCTCATAGATACAGAGAACAGATTGGTGGCTGGCGGGGTGGCCTTCCAAACGGTCCAGACTTCCAGTTGTAAAATAAATGGGTCACAGTGATATCGATTCACTATGGTGACTGTATTGAAAATATTTTATTTCACATTTGTAAGATGCTAACAGAGTAGATCTTACAAGTCCTCATCACACACACACAATGTGGAACTATATGTGGGTGCAGATTGCCGCAGTGCCCCCGGGACCCGGTCTACACTGCTTCCTCAGGGTGAACGACTCCCTCTAGGAATGGCAAGGGCTTCTCTCAAAGCAGCTGGGGAACAGAGTTCAGCTGAAGCCCGAGGAACTGAGGCAGCAAACCCACAACGCCTGCCCTTCAATGACAGGCCACCCAGGATGGCGACAGAGAGGTGCTGGCACTGGAGAGTTCAGGCTGCACACCTCTCTGACTTTCAGACAAAGGGAAGGGACCCTGACACTAAAAACCCAGTTACATCCTCTCAGGGAGCTCCTTTGAAAAGACAGGAACAGTTAGCCAAAAAATAAATAGGATCTAATGGAAATATAAATACAATGCAACAAGAAAATATTTCTTGAAAGCAGTCAAATACATGACCATGGGCTGTCATGTGAAGACAAAAAACTTTATCGTAATAGACTCTATTAAAAAAAGGAAAAGACAATTTTGCCATAGACACAGGAAAAAAGCTGTGTCCAGACATGTCCTGTCTACTCCTGGGCCTGGCATATTCCAATGTGTAGAATACATCGTGCTTTCCTCTGCCAATTTTATATGAACAAAATGAAGCAGCGAGGAAGCGCGTCCCAACTACAGTTAGGGAAGAACTGTCCCCTCCACAGTGGACTGGGAGCTTCACCCCTGCGCTGCCGCTCCTTTTGGTTTATGGGTTTAGGGTCAGGGTCCCAAATTTCAATCAGCTTCAAACAAGTTCTCCTAAATATACTAGGAAAAATTATAAATTAGTAAATCACTTTCAGTTATTAAAAGCTCTCCGTCAAAGACACGAGGGCTCCATAATGCTTGTCCCCCACCCCAGACAAATCAGCTGCTGGGTGACTGTTTGTTTATTTGTTTCTTTCTTTCTTTCTTTGAAATTTTGACCTTCATCCCAAAATTAACATTTTGGAAATATTTTGTGAATCAGGATCAGTGCCAAGTAATTATATTAAACAGTTAACAACTCCTTAAAGGACGCTTTCTAGACTTTTCCAATCTCCTGTTTCTCTGAGGGATACACAGAGGCCCCAAGTAGTAATGAAAACTAACCTGTGCTTTTGCTGTAGGGCAGGAGCCACTCAGATAGGTGGACACTGGACAAAACCACCGTGGTGGTTACCAGGACGACTGGAGAAGAGACGACTGGCCAGAAGGTTCCTTCCTGCGCTGGGCTTTACACGGCCGCAGGACCCCCTGGAATGCCCCTCGGGCTGAGGCCATCAGCCTAGCCTACTCTCTGGGGACCTGGTCGCCGCCCGCTCTCCCCTGATTGGAGGGAACGTGGTGTTGGGTTGTTATCATTCCTTCCCACTTTCACTTTATCTCAAACTTACAGATCTGAAACAATGTGCTATAATTTGGTCTTTGCCAGTCCCTGCAATTTTAAAAACATGCATGTTTAACTATGTAAGTTTAACAACCTATTCTGTTTAAAACATTTATACATATACTGCCAGTGCCAGACGTTGTGCATGTGTGGGGGCAGGGCATTTTGGGGAATTCTCTGAGCCTTCTGTTCATTATTGCTCTGAGCTAAAAACTACTCTTAAAAAATTAAGCCAATTAAAAAAAACTTATACGTATACCAATATGCTGGCTGAATCTTTCTGCATCTTGCCAATGAGTCAACTCGGTTTCCATGGCAAAGAGCTCAAGGGCAGCCAGGCTTTGGAGATCCTGACCTGCTGGGCACCGGTGAAGACCAAGGTTGAGAAAAGCCTGGCTTGGCCAAGATATGGTAACTACCTTAATGTCCATCAATGGATGAATGGATAAAGAAGATATAGTATATACATCAATGGAACATGGTTCAATGATAAAAAAATGGATAGAATCTTGCCTTTCGTAACAACCTGGATGGATGTGGAGAGCATTACACTGAGTGAAATAAACCAGGCAGAGAAGGACAGATAACAGTATGATTTCACTTACATGTAGAATCTTTATAAAGACACACTCATAGATACAGAGAACAGATTGGTGGTTGTGGGGAAGGGTGTGGGAAAAGGTACAAATTTCTAGTTATAAAACAAACAAGTCTAGAGCTATATGTACAGCATGGTGACTATATTTAAAATATTTTCTTGCATATTTGAAAGTTGCAAAAAGACTAGATCTTAAAAGTCCTCATCACACAGGCACAAATTTGTAAGTATGGATGGTGGCACACATTATGGCAGTGGCTCCAGGACCAGTCTATGACCTTTCATGGTGGTGGTGGGGGGCCTCCCTTCTGCAGGTGGCGGGGGTGTCTCTAAAAGCAACCAGAGAAGAGAATTCAGCTGAAGCCGGAGGAGTAGGACGTGAACCCATGAAGCCTGGTCTTCAATGACAGGTGATCCACGCTGGTGGGAGAGAGGTATTGGGACTGGTGAGTTCTGACCATCACACCTCTCTGAGTTTCAGACAAGGGAAGGGGCCCTGAGACCCAACGCCCAGTCACATTTTTGTCAGGGAGCTCCTTTGAAAAGACGGAATTGGCTAACTAAAAATTAAATAAGGCCTAATGGAATCACAAATAGAATGTAACAGAATTGTGATGCTTCCTTTTGTTTACAGGTTTAGGGTCAAGGTCCCGAATTTCAACCTGCTCCAAACAAGCTCTCCTGAATACATTACAACAATTGATAAATTAACAAATCACTTACAGTTTTCAAAAACCCTTGGTCAAAAACACCAGGACCCCATAATGTTTGTCCACCACCTCAGAAAAATCACGTGCTAGATGACCATTGTTTGTTTGTTTTGGAAATTTTGGCCTTCATCTCAAAATTAACATTTGGAAATATTTTGTGAATCAGAGTCAATGCTAAGACATTCTATTAAACAATTAACTAATCTTTACCTTAACGCTAAAATGGCCCTCTCTACATTTTTCCTACTCTCCTGTTTCTCTGAGGGATACATAGAGGCTCCAAGTAGTAATGAAAACTAACCCATTTTTTTTTGCTGTGGGTCCGGAGTGGCTCAGATACATGGACACTGGACAAACCCATGGGGACCGGATGGTTACCAGGATGACTGAAGAAGAGATGACTGACCAGAAGATTCCTTTTTTTTTCTTTTTTCCCTTTTTTCCCTTTTTCCCTTCTTTTCTTTTTTTTCTTTTTCTTTTTTTTTTTTTTCCTTTTTCTTTTTTTTCCCAGAAGATTCCTTTTTCTACTGGGCTTTATACTGCCTCTGGACTCCCTGGAATTTCCCACCTGCTGAGGTCATCATCCAAGCCTAATCTCCTGGGATCTAATCACCGCCCACTCTCCCCTGATTAGATGGACTGTTTCATTGGTTGTTTACCATTTCTTCGCACTTCCACTTTATCTCAAATGTACAGGTCTGAAACAATAGACTATAATTTGGTCCTTGCCATTCCCTTCGATTTTAAAAATTTATAATTTCTTTTTGAGTGATGAAAATGACAAATATGTGCCTCCAATATGTAACTGTTTTAGTTGTATTTTTAGACAGAATGTACCAAGTTTAATGTTATGAGAAGTAATTGTAATGTAGGAACTTTGTTTAGACTCTGGCTCAAAAAATAATAAATAAAATGTGTTTGACTAATATGGGAGAATGTGAATAGGACTGGGTATTAAATAATATTTTTTAAATATTTAAATAATTTTGTGTTATAAAGCCTGAGTCTTTTATTGTCTTTTATACCCTTAAATAATTATTAGAACTGATTTTATGGAGCCCAACATGTTTATTAGACGAATACATAATTCTTCAACCTGAATTAAAATATATCAGCTCCATTTCCCACCCAACTCTCACTCAAAGGACAAGGTTGGATTGGATGATCCAAGACTGGAAAAACAATGAACACTTTGAAGAGGTCTTAAGGGTAAACAGAGATTCACTTTTCTTGTGTCAGGTTCCCCAATACAATCACAACCAATCACACTCCTAATCTCATCTCAGGCTGTGATAAACGGCAGGAAGATGCAATCTCATCAGCCAATAGGAGCAAGCCACGCCCCATAGGGGGTCTAATAAAAGGTGGTTCATCTCGCCTCTGGACACTTCTGACTCTGGACTCCTGTGAGAGAGGGGCTTTCATTCCGTCTTCAAGATGGAATCGGGAACTGGAGTCCTACACCCTCACAGCCCCTCCAACGGACACCCCACTGACCAGCCCACCTTCCAACAGAGTTCCGTGGAAGAAAGGGCCTCAGATGCGGAGGAGAAAATAGCCGAAGAAAATGGCAAGACGTTCTCTTTCCAGTTAGATGAGAGCCAGGCTGAAAGGCCAGGTAGGCAGCTGGGCCGTTTTTCTGGGAGCTGGAAGGAGGAATGGGATCGGGGATACTGAATTAGTGCTTTATTGGGGCTTTACTTTGAGGCTGGTGATAGGAAACTTCACCCAGCCCCATGGGGGCTCTGAGTATTGTGGCAATGATCCCCTGAAGCCACATACTCCAGTTCACATATGACATGACTGAACAGCCTCTGTTGGGGGAATTGCCCGCAAAATGGGTTAGGGATGGACCGGGGTTGTGTGTGCCTCAAGGGAGGCCAGTCATCTCACTCCCTCTTTTTCTCCAGGGTCAGAGCCCAAGAGTGATGGGGAAGACAATGCCAACAAAACAGAGCCCGATGGTGGAAGCAGCTGCATTGCTCCCTCAGGTGAGATTTCATTTTTCTGGAGAGGGGGTGGAGTAACTCAGACTTCCCTGGGCAGGGTACTGGGTGAGCTTTGAACCAGGCCTTGCACAGCCTGGACTCTGCGACCAGCTGAGACACCAGTTTTGTTTGCAATCTTGGCTCCTCGTGCATCCAGGATAGACTAGGTTTTGAAGGTGCCGGGGTCAGGCAGTCACTCAAACTCTCACTTCACCCGCAGATTCAGAAGGCAGCTCCAGCCCGGAGAGGAAGATCAATTCCAGGGACAGCACCTACGAGAGAACAGGTAGGGTCTTGCTTCTGGGCCCCTTGGTGAACAGAGAAAACAGGAGGTAAACCATCCAGAGCGTGGGCGCGAAGGGGGTTGGTTATTCAGTGGACGCAGCCGTTTTTAGAGTCTCGGATCCAGGGAGCATTTGAGGGCCCAGGGTGGGCGCGTATCACCTCATTCTAGAGCCGAGGGGCAGGGAAGGAGCCGGAGATGGGTGGGGTTTACCGGAAGGCTCGCGGTGAGATCCGGGGCCGGGGGTCCGTGGGAACTGATGTGGCAGGCCTCTCACCCACGTGCTTCATCCGCAGGGGCCTCTCCAAATAAGCGCAGTATGACTTCGGAGAAGACGAAGCAAACGGCCTCTGACGCTGGCCTCGGGAGCGAGAGTGGAGAGACCCGGGATGCCCGCCCCAGGGGACCCCAGGGGAGGCGCCGGGGGCGCAGCAAGCGACCCAGATCTGGGTCCCCAGGAGACCAGCCGCCTCCACTTCGGAAAAGCCTCGTGACCTCCCTGCGCTCTATGTCGGAGGCCATTTTTCAGAACATAGTTCAAGTGTACAACCAGCAGGGAGACTCACCGCCCAGCTGGGAGGAGCTGGCCCAGCTGCGTGGGAGCCTGTGCGCAGCGGTGCAGACTTTCTACGCCGTGGCCCACCAGGCGGCCTACGTGTTCCCTGCTGAGAGCTGGCTCGTCCCAGCCCCGCTGCCCGGGCGCCGGAGTCCTGCCAGGGATGGAGGAGCAGGTCCTTGCTCCGAGGACGCGCCCCTTCTTCCCTAGACAGGCTGTCAGTGGATCAGACTAGACTTGATTCGAGCCAAGGGGACCCAGCCTTACTCAGCAGAGACCGCATCAGCGCTGAGAGGCAGAGCAAAGCCCTGCTACTTCTCAGATTCTCCAAGAGGACCCGCAGGGCCTATTTTAGACGCTGTGTGTTCATCATAAACACTGGAACCTGGTGGTCATAGGAAAGGAGCTTGAAAAATTGACTCAGAATGGTGAAAACTGGGTTTTCTTGAGAACTAAGATTGCAAAGTTTATAATTCATGTTAGACACTTGATATGCTTTGACTACCTTAGGAAAGTCAACTTGGTGTATGAACCCCCAGGCCCCTTGCCTCTCAGGACAGCGCTGCCGTGCGTGTTCTACACTGGCATTAATTACAGTGAAGAAAGTTAAGTATTATTTTATAATGAGAACGAATGTCAGGATGTAATTCGTATGTGTTTGCATACTTTAAAGTAGCAAAGTAGGCATATAGTCAAATCCTTTTATTCTAAAAATAAAAGTCCAGTCCATGGAAGGCTAATATCCAAAAATCTTTGCTAACAATATGTTTTGGAAAATGTTTATTTTTTTATTTTTCAGTTTGATGAAATTATGGCAACATCATCATGTCATTTTTGCTTTTTTGTTACTTTACGTAAAAGCTAAGTCAAGGAATATTAAATGCTTTTTCACCACATGTATTTATTCTTAATCTGTCTCAATTTACGGACCTACTTATAAATCTTCTACTTTATAGATATCAATTTTTCATATTTTCCCAGAGGCTATTAAATCTATTAGAGATATTGTCATAGATTTTACATATTGTTGTATTTTCTTTTATATAGTTTTTGATTTGCATTTTATACTGGGATGATGTAACCTTTATAAAATAAATTTATATAATTTTATGGAAGAAAAATAAAAGTAAAGTTTTGCAAAACTGTTTTATCCTTTGCCTCATTATTTGCATATCACTTAGTGATGAAATAAATACTGTTTTAATGTATTTCATATTTTAGTTAATTACCTATTTATTCATGTGGATTTTTTTTTTTTTTTACTGTATGTGTGGTTTAGGAGACTGTTTTCTTTACACTCTACTTCACCTCACCTTGACTTTCCTACACCAAACAGCTCTTGTTGTACATAAGGATAGCAGTTTGTCATTCCAGTGAATGGGGCCAATTCAATGATAATATAGCACAGATCACTTTTAGCCCATGAAATGGCTTCAAATTATACAAGTGATTCACATGTACAAAAAAGAGAATTGACAAGTTACACTCGGAAATTGGGGATGCAATTACAAACGTTTAAAAAATTAAATAATTAGAAATAAATTTAATAAAAGTATGTGAAGTATATATAAGAAGAACCATAGAAAATGATTGAAATACAAAAAAGTAGACATAAATAGATCACACCGTGTTCTTGAGTAGGAAATTTTTTTTATTTTTATGGGTAAAAATTTAAGATATTCTGAAAATTGTACCATTTACAGAATTCATTCTTAGATTAAAATTTTAAATTCCACCTTAAACAAGGTCACAGAGTTTCACAAAACTTTATAGAATGTTCAAAAACAAAACTTTTGAGCACTACCGATATATCACTAAACCCCAAAATTCTCATGAGAGAAAGTCGCATCAATAAACATCTGTCAAAACAAGAGAATAGTGATGCTATTGAAACGGTCCCATAGCAACAAAGTGGATGCTTTATCTGTTCCCTCCCCTGATGTGACGATGCTGGAAGAGACAGAAATTTCGGGTTAAGGAGGAGAAAAGAGAGTGGCTTTTGTTACTCGCCTGTATGGGCCAAGAAATGCAGAATCAGAGGTTTATAAAGACAACAAAGACATCCCAGACAAGATACACAGGTTATTTTGTCGAATTATGATTGGTGCCAGGTACTTGAGAGCAGTTGATTGGTTGCTAAGCTGCGAGTTTTCAGGGAGTGAAGCAAATGAATTCCAGGGGGCTGGTAGTCAGCTGAGTGAGTTTATGTTTCATCTAAGTATGGATGTGTGATCTTCGACTTCCTTAATTCCCTCTTAACTCCGTTTTTGATACCTTTGACATAAGTGACTCTATTTTGTTGTTCGTGGTCCATACCTCACAGCAGGACTCATCTTGGAGATGGAGGGTAATAACAATATATGGCACAGGCATATTAGTTACTGCTTGTATTACCTAATACACCAGGGAATTTGTGATGCCATGTGTAGATTTTTATCCTGCATAGCGAAATTATAAAGACAAAGAGTAGAGGAAGATCAAGAAGCCAGAGTAGGAAACACATAAAACTTACATCTACACGTGGAGCAACTAATTCTCACTGAAAACAAACTGGAGGCTGGTGGAAAGGCTTTTCTACAACAAAGGCTGTGAAGATCTACACAGAGGTAGTTAGAAAGTGGGGTAAGGGATCGGATTTGGACCCACACCCCTAGCAGGCGACACAGAGGAGGGGCATATCATAGGCTCACAGATCCTCCCTGGGGGGGTGAAGGGTTTGAGCCACATACTGGTTGCCCCAGCCCTGGGGTCCCATACCTAGAAAATGAGTCCCCGTAGCTGTTTTAGTGGCACACAACCAGGGGGCTCTGTTCCTGAAAAGCGCGTGCACGCGCTTGGTTACTCTGGGGAAGAAGGCTGAGGAAGTAGATAGAAAACTACCCATGTCTCTGTCTCCATCCAGCCCTGCATCTGAACATGATCAGGGGTCCGTGACGGATACGCGTGAAGAAGCAGCAGAACGCGAGCAGCCTGGGGCTCTGACTGGTGCACCTACACCATCCCAGCTGGCAGCCCGGCCCACACGGGGCACCTAGTCTAGACCCTCTTCCTCAAAGCCGATAGCAAGGTATAGGTCAAAGTAGGGGGTGGGGGTGGAATCTATACCGTAAAAATTAAAATACGGTTGAATTCCTTCCTGAAACTTTTTTCTTAAGCTCTTGACTGTAGCCAACTCCTTGATCATAGTCTCCTCAGACAATGACAGGTTTGTGATTTTTGACGCCTCCAAGTGAATGTGGAACAGAAGTGAAAATTATGCTCTGGTGGGAAGTTGGCATAAATTTGCATATCCCGTACTGGCACAGCGTTTCATTTCCTGTCACACTCCAGTTTCCGTCACCTATTCTAAAACTCCGGCTTTCGTTTAATAGGAAGCTGTAACGGCCTCGGGTCCCCAGAAGGTCC